ATTAAAACAACAGTACCCACTCGCACACGCGCGTTTCCTCCATTGTATTCGCCGGGCCCCGGCGCGTATATAATTAGACCGGGCCGGCGTAATAAAACGTGCGTTGCACTCTTATTTTTAATTGATCTCGCCGGGTTCGCTTTTTTCCCCGCCGATACCTCGCGATACACAATATTGTAATAATATCTGCGGCCGCTGTTCGAACAATGGTTATATTATTTATATTTTCTCTCTGCGCGCGTGTGATGCGCGCGTACCTGTATGTATGTATATATAAGTGTGTGTATGCGTGCCTATCCGCCGCCGCGGACTAGCGTGTGCGATTTATGTGCACTTGCACACACATTATAATATATAAATATGTGCCATGTACGCGATTTGACGTGTTTAATGATAATAATACACAGTACCCATATGTAGGTAAGTATGTAATATAGTCGGTGATTTTTTTTTTTGGGACCCACTGGGAATCCGCCGGGTAGGCACGATAACCGAACACCGGCAGGACCGGTTTGATCGACGCGCACAGGTACCTCTACAGGTATATATATATATAATATTATTATTATTATTATTATAGGTACGTGAATCATCCGTTTTCGTCTCTCGACGACCTGCAGAATGCAGATCCGACTGCTGCTGCAACAGTGTTGTGTGTAGCAGTAAATGCGCGTATGTTCTACGTACCTATATATGACGTGTCATCGTTGTCGTCGTCGCGATGCATATACTAGCTGCTGCAGTGACGCGGTGCGCAGGAATTCCCCTTACAGGGTCCTGCAGCTCGACCGCGCTCCCCCTTAGCTCGCAGGAAAGAATATAAATAACGATGATGATAATAATGTATATATAAAGTATAAAAGCCTCGGTGGATTATTGAAAAGCGAAATGGAAAAAAAAAACTCTGATTTATGTACGTATATATACCATCAAGCGGGCGCGCACGTATATAATAAAACTAATTGAAGACATTACGCGAGCCCGAGGGGAAGAAATGGCGAATCAAAAAAAGGGGTGCAACCCCTTAAAGCGGTCGCCGCCGTTTGCCCGGGGGCTCTTGTCGGAAATGGCGGACACGAATTTCCACACACACACACACCGATGCCGGTGCGGAGTTTAAAATGGCTTTTTGTTCGCCGGTAATTCGTTTTTAAAAACAATTCCGAGTGTAATATCGCGCGCGTGTGCCCCTTTTTGTTTTTTTTTACCATTAACCCACGTGGTCCGTTTAACCCGATTTCTCAGACGTTAGCTCACCAATAATAATAATTATTAAATTGTAGCCCGACCCGAATCCATTGCTACCCACACACTCTTATATTATATTTATATACCTACCTCCCGACGCGTATATTATTTATATAATAATTATAGCATTGTCGTAGCGTAATAGACGCAGAAAGCGTTACCGTTTACATGAACGTGAGAAGTGCGTATATAAAAATAATGAAAACCATTATACAGTTTCCAATATATAATATCATGTGATACACCACGATGTATAATGTAATAAAGGCGTTCGGATGAGCCTCGCGGTCGATTGTTGTGAGGTTTCAATTGTTCTGGCCGAGCGATGATGGATTCTCCGACAATGATGGTGCTCGAACACAATAATAATAAAATATTATTACGGCGCGGCCACTAAATTAAAAATAAATGAATTACAAATGTTATAATATAATATTATTACAGTTTATTATATCGGCCGTTAAGCGCGTATTCAAACGTCGTAAAATTAATCGAAAACGATTATCGTTTAATTCCGTCGTGAACCGTATAGTCTCAGATCATAATAGTATAATATCTACGACGGACGGAATTCAAAAACAAAAACCATCGCACAAGTGTCCGGACTGTAATCAAAACTCAAGTAGCGATAGATCATCAACACACATCGTAGTGTTACACGTTTCCCGACAAGCGACCGAGATTTCCGAGCTACAGGTGTTAACATTAATATTACAATCGTTACGGAGACGGAGGTAGAGAACGAGCAGCTTTTCCGTGATATTCGTTGTACCCATTTTTACTCGCATTTCGTTCATTACGTTTCGGTCGGACTTATATGGGCGCGACTTGTTTCCTGCCGCCGCAGACTACGGGTTTTCGCCGTGACACTAAAAATAATGAAAGGAGGAGACACAACAACAATAATGATAATAACAAGACGTACCTATATAATGTTCTACGTACAAAACCACTCGGGTTCGGGTAGTGCGCCGGGTTCGACATGATAGATGAAACGCACCATATGTGTCCGGCGACGACTGCAACGATCATTAACCCAACTCCGTGGGGCACACGTTTTCTCGGGGCAGCCATCATCACATTATATATTATTATTATCGCCATCGATGTATATACGCTGCGATTTTAACGCTGTGCGTACGCACCGAACAAAATGTTGTCATTAACGTAGGTGGCGGCGGCGTTGGCAAAATAAATATAAATCAACCCGACCTAACCCGCAGCTCGCATCCCAAATATGTATAATAATAAATATGTCTGTATATTATTGTTGTATACGTTGTGCCGTTCTATTATTGTATAGCTGGACGTATATACCACACATCGTACCCACGTATATATAGATCTCGTATTTAAGCTCATTTTTTGGGAACCCCGGCGCGCGCATTCTTCAGGTGTGATTCCCCGACGACTTCCCTCGCTCGGGACCGCGAGACGACGTTAACGACCACTGGTCCGCCGGCACCGTATACCTAGGTATTAGCTCTGGTGGTACTCACGCCGAACTGGGCCACCTCGTAAACCATAAAATATAGGCAGATTGCCGGAATATATATATACATAGACGATCATCGGGGCCGGAGAGTGAGCGAGAGGGAGAGTGTGCGGTGGTCGGCGAGAGAGAATGGACTCGCGTACATATAATAATAATAATAATAATAATAATACTGTGTATACCTATACCTACGTATGTATATATATATATATATACGGCTCCAGCGCCGCCGACCACTAATCATACTCGGGACGGCGGCGGCGTGTTCCGGAGCAATAAATTGCCCGGTCTAAACAGCACTGGGGATCGTTGGCCAACGTGTTATTACTGTTCCGCTAATCAGTTTGATCATACAAGCATAACAATCATCCGTCCACGTCGTTATAATACTGACTCGCGAGAGCTCTCCGACGGGGCGGGCGGTTGGGCGAGCGCGCGAGAGAGACAGCGGCGAGAGCGAGTGAGAGACGGAGTGTACGGACGGAAAAACACGAGGAGGATCGTCGTAAAAAATAATAAAAACCTACAACCGATATTATGCGTACGATTTATACATATACGTATATAGTATATATAATATTATACTTACCGGCTCTGGTTTATACCGCGGTACACATCATATTATAGCTGGTACCTCCTTTATTGTTTTTTTTTTTATACACGCGCAGTACACGTACACGTATATAATATGCCTATAGTCAGCAAATATGTATATCGATATTCGTTTTTTTTTTTTCACTCGCATTGGAAATAAATCACAATTCACAACAGCAAAGGTATACCTATATAATATGTATATAAATAATAAGTGTTGTTGGACGCCGCCCCCGCCGGTTGTGCGGAGCGCCTCTGGTGAAGAAAGTGTCTCGTGACGACGATAGCCTTTTACGGCACCGAAAACACAAAAAAAAAAGCCGCTGACGACGACGGTCTAGCGCACAGAAGAAAATAATTTATTATATTAAAATCGCAACTGCTGTGTCGTGAGTTATTGGTCGGATTGTCATCGCGCGCGGGTCGTCTACGACAAGTCGATAGCGCCGGCGGCGCGTCGTTGTCGCGGTCCGTAAAACGAACGCGTTTTGAACGAAATGAAAAGAAGAAATTGTTTCAAAATTTTGCGCTTCACGATGACTGTGTTGCCGTATAGTCGTCGTCGTCCCCGCCGCTGTATTATGTACCTTAAACCGTCCGAGAAGAATGTCGTTTCGCCAGTTTGACGCCGTAGGCGAATTTGGTTAGTTTTTTTTCGACTTTTACCGTTTACCGCATACATTATAAGTATACATATACAGAATGTATGTATAATAATAGTAATAATGGAATATTATGTATTTATATACCTACGTTTTTATTTTCGTTCCCCGAAATAACAATGACACCGCGACCGGGGGAGATTATCCTCCGTCCGGTCCACTGATCTCCTCCTCGTCGCGTCGTCATCATCGGTGATCAATGGTTGTTCGTCGTCGTCGGTGACATTTCGACGCGATCAGATATAATACACCTTTCCCCCACCCGCACATATTTTCACCCACAACTCGAGACCCGCACGTTGCACACGATGTCGTGTGTTGCGGGTCCGTCGTTTTTTTGTGCAAGCGCTACGGAGAAATACTCCGCAGGTCCGGAGATGGATGATGACAACGATCATGATGACGATGATGACGATGATGATGATGATGATGATGATGGTGATGATGATGATAATACCATAATATACGATGACGACGATACCCGGCCGAGAGTGGCGGGCGACATTGCCGCAGCCCATCGTCGTAATTTATTTTGTACTTATTTTGTATTATAAGTTTGTCTCGCAATAATTTAATATCGACGAATACGGTCATGTCGTTATAAGTATGTACTTACTTACCCACCTACCATTATAATGGTATACGTAACAATTCGACCGCTAAACGTGATTGGTATACCCATACAGTTACCTATATCGCACAGACATAATATACATACAAAGGCAAACTTCACCTTTTTCGAAACCAGCGTATTACTATCGATCCCGCGAAGGACGATTGCAAAAATAGAAACCATTATAATAATTCAATAACGATATTGTTAGTAAATCTATTCGAAAACCGTTTTTCACATTACCGATCGTAATCAATTAATTAATTAAAAATTATTATTGAGTTTAATGGTTTCTATTTTCTTATCCTTTTTTACACTTACATTGTAGATAGTATAGGTCTTATACTATGTGTGGACTCGATTAAATAAATAAATAAAAACAGTTGAATTAAATTTTATGTTTTTTTTTATTATTCGCTGGGTTCTCGTTTTTTTTTGAGTACCAGTCAATTAAATTAACAAAAATATATCACAACAATGTTCTAGTGCCTAGAAGTTTATAGTCTTCATTGTAAGAAAATAAATAAAAATAATAATATATATAAAAAAAACAATAGTAAAAAATGGCATTGTTTTTAGTTCACGTTGATAAAAACGTAGATTTTACAATAAATCGGGTTAATAGTTAAAAACATAATACTAACAAACGTACAAGATATTTCTTAGACTAGGTAACTAACCCCGCGATATATCTCAAAATCGTCATTTAACTCTTTGTCAGCAAATAACTAGTTTATGTGTATATGGCAACTCTCTTTTTTTTCAAAATATATAATCTGCATACTTTTTCACCTCAAAAATTAAGTTTGTACTAAACATTAAGTACTTATTGATAAAAAAATACACTTAGATTTGCGTTCAAAGAGTCAAATTAATTTAATACATATTTAATAAAGGGCTACAACACGTTTGAATTTAAGAAATAATAATATTATAACCTAATAGTAATGACTGGGAGGACATTTTATTCATGATCTTTACATTTTATTTTACAAAAAAGAAAAGTTTAAAAAAAGGTTATAAAAGAAACATCTTAAATATAATCGTATTTAAATACAATAATTAATAATTATGCAGGAGTGGTAGGCATTTAAGCCATATATACACTGTACAAATACATTTTTGTTTTTTTTGTTTGTTTTTACAAAATAGTCACTATCTAATATCACAAATTTAATTATTAGGCAAGATAAGTTTTGAATTTTCATACCGTGTACTATATATGAATGGCAAGCGGTCTTGAGTAGTTGTTGTGTACCCCTCTGTGATGGTGATGATGGTGGTGGTGATGCTTGTGGTTGATTGCTTTCGGCCTTTGGTTGTTCGGGACGTCCGGAAGCGCGAATTTCAGCTTTTCCCAGAAATGTTTGTCGCCCCACTGCAGATATGAATTAGTCTTGAGGTAGAGTCGGATGTCCGGATCTAGGTCTTTGTTGGGCACCTCTCCCAGTAGTATAACGATCAGTCTCTTCCTCTTATCCCGGAGAACTTGATGATGTGCGGATTTAAATTCGAACCGACACCACTCCGACTTGATAAAGTTCTCCGATAGCACCATTATCGTGCGTTTGGACGATTCGACCGCCTGCACGATCGTGTCGGATATGTAACCACCGGCTGGAAACTCTCTGTAGTGCAGACACAACTTGTACGACGGGTCGCCATTTTCCAGTATCGGAGCCAATTCTTCGATGACGAACGCCTCGTCTTTGGAACTGTAGCTGACGAACGCGTCGAACAACTTATCCCGCTCGTCCATTTCGAACTCGGTGCTTTTGCAAAATATCCGCACGCCGAATCTGGAGTGACACCAGACTTTCATCTCGTGTCGGAAAACGTACACCATCATGGCGGCGACAATGATGAAGAACACGGCCGAAAAGGAAACTATCAGGATCGGTATGTAATCCTGAATGTCCGGCCTTTGGATTATGGTCTTGGTAGGCGTGGTCAGGTTACCGCCGTTGAGCGCTCCTTCGATAGTGTTGGACGACGTGTTGAACGGTTTTTCGACCGACGAAGGGGTCGTAGGCCCGCAAACCGTGCCGTTGTCGCTGTTTATGTTGTACCCCCCCGAGTGGTCGAGGCAACGGACTTGTTCGGCGTCCACCACCGCGTCGGCAGCGTATTGTAGGAACTCTTTCATTTGTTGAACAAAATCGCACGCGCAACTCCACTGGTTCTCGGCGAGCGTCAGATGAGTCAGCGTCGGCGACAGTCTCCACACCGGGAACTGAGCTATCCGGTTGTGGTCCAACCGGAGAATGGTCAGCTGTTGCAGGAAACGGAATGTCGTGCTATTTATGTACGTTATGCGGTTGTGGTTTAAATAGAGCTCCTTGAGCTTGTCCAGCCCGTAAAACTCGTCACCGTACAATGTGGATATACGGTTGTCGTCCAAGTGTAGCACTTCCAGTTCCTTGAGTCCGTGGAACGTCCGATTTTGCACGCGCTCCACGTTCGAAGAATTCAAGTACAGGACTTTCAAGATTTTTCTGCCCAAAAACGTGTGTGTGCTCAGAGTCTTGATTGTATTGCCGTCCAAATATAAAACCGTGGTATTCATCGGTATTTTTTCGGGCACCCGGTTTATGTAACCAGCGCTCGAGCAGTCGACCACGTTCGACGTGGAACTGACGCTGTGGAAACACGTACAGTTCGTCGGACATATCATTTTGCAATCGCACGCGTCGAAGTCGCAACAATCGCACGTGCTACGTTTCGCACACTCCATGTCGTATTGACACAAAAACTGTTCTTCGGACGCTTCTTTCAACAGTACCCGGGACTCGCCTCGATTGTATATGACCTCGCACGTGGCCGTCTCCAAGTCGACTAGTTTGGGTTTGTTCCGATCGGGTTCGACACTATACGCCTGTAGCCATTGCATCGAACAGTCGCACACAAACGGATTGTTGCCGACTAGGAACTGCGGCATATTCCGACCCACCGGAACCGTCGATATCCTGAGCGATTGAGGGTTCAGCGTTTTCAATCGGTTTCCGGTCAGGTCCACTTGCGTGAGATTTGGTTTTTTGAAAAACGCGTACGATTGTATTTTTGAAATTTGATTGTTCGACAGATACAGATTTTGTACTTTATCCGGGATCGAACTACCAGTCACTTCAGTCAATTTATTGTTACTGGCGTCGAATCCGGTCAGTTGCGTTTCCAACTCGTAGTGATTTCCGAGTTCGGTGATTTGATTGCCGTGTATGTCTAACCACTGTAAGCCCGTTGGTATTAGAGCATAATCGAACCATTCTAAAAAGTTTTCCGATATGTTTAACCATACGAGATTCGACAGTTTGGAAAATAGGCCACCGACGTCCCGTAAATAATTGCCGTCCACCCTGACCGCCACCAGTCTGGTGTTGTTGTCAAAAGTGCCGGCTTCTATTTTTTGGATTTTATTATTGGCGAGGTTGATGAGATGCAGTTCTGGTAATCTGTCGAAAACACCCTTGGACACGTTTGATATTTGATTTTTCAACAATTTCAACCCTATGAGCTGACTCATGGCCGGAAACGACGTGTTGAATATGTCGGTGATCTGATTGTAGCCCAAGTCCAACGTTTTCAGATTGGGAATATTATTCAGAACCGCCGGTATATCGTACAGTTTATTTCCGTTGAGGTGTAAGTATTCCAAATCGGTAGAGTTCCTCAGCGCCTCCGGATCGATGTACTGTATTTGATTGTTATCGAGCGATAGTTGGTTTAATGAGGGCAGACCGTCGAACGTGAACTGATCGATTCTGGTCAATTTGTTGCTGGAAAGCACCAACGTTCTCATGTCTATCAGCGACGAAAACACGTTCTCCGGCAAGTACTGAACACCGTTATTATCCAGTCGTAACGATCGTAGCCGGTACAAATCTCGAAATATCATCGCGTCCAATTTAGTTATGTTGTTGTTGGACATGCTCAGGAACACGAGTCGCACGAGACCGGTAAACGTGGCCGCGTTCACCCATTCCTCGGTCAGCTGGTTTTCGGAAAGGTCCAGCACCAACAACCGGGACAGCTCGTTGAACAGCCCGGGTGCGAGCACGTTTATGGTGTTGTTCTGCAGGTACATCTCGCGCAAGTCGCGGGTGTCCGCGAACAACTCGGGCGCCAGATTGACCAGCCGGTTGGAGGCGACGTTCAGCACGGACAGCGCGGACAGACCGTCGAAACCGTGGTCGCCGATCACCGATATAACGTTGCCCTGCAAGTGCAAGTCCTGCAAGTTGGTCAGGTGCGAGAACACTTGCGAGTTGATCGAGTCGAAGTTGTTGTACGACAGGTCGAGCACCTGGAGGTTGGCACCGCACTTGTGCTGCCCGGACGATCCGAAGTGGAAAAGCTCGAGATGCCGGAGTCGGTTCCGGGTGAGGTTCAGGTAGACGAGATTCTGCAGAGAGCAGAAAACGCCCTCCGGCAACTTGGCGATGTTGTTGTGGCTCAAGTCGAGTCGCTCGAGCATATTGAGCTCCTCCAGGAACGTGTCGGACTGCACTTCCATGTTGACCGACGTCCAGTCGTTGTTGTGAGTGACGACCGTGAGGTTGCGCAACTGCCGAAGACCGCGGAACGATTCCCGGCCCAGGCTGTTGAGCTTGCACGAGTCGATCGTCAGCTCCTTGAGATCGATGAGCGTCTGGAACGTGCCCGTGCCCAGCGAGCTGAGCAGGTACAGCTGCGAGTTGCACTCGATCTTCAGTTTGACCGTGTACTGCGGCTGTATTATACTAAAATTGGTTTTTTCCAACTCGGAGTTCATGGTCCGCACACGGCAGTGCAGGGCCACCTCCTGTTCGTCGGACACGGTCTGCGACGCGATCGTCTCGTCGCCGTATGTAGTCACGGCCAGCCACTCGCACTCGTTGGGCGGCTTGTGCCGGAGCGTCTTGCTCAGCGACGCCGACATGACCAGCAGCACCGAGCTGACGAGCACCGCGGCGGACGTTAGAGCCATGACGGTCCCGGGGGGCGGATGTGGGCGCGTTGGCCGGGGGGGCGGTTGTCTTTCACGCGGACGTGAAGGGGGGGCCGGAACGCAAGAGACACGCGTTCGATCGCCGTCACCGCCTGGACACCATTTGCGATGTGCGATCGCGGAAAAGAGACATCAACGAACGGGCATGGTGGCGAGGCGGCGGGAGAACAGATATTATTGTAATATCTAATAAAAAAAAAACAGCGAAAAAAATTTCGTCGAAAATTCACCTCCGATTTTATTCGTACTCGTATCCGTCACGCGCGCACTCGAGAAAAACACACGCACCATTCGCGCACGCAACACACGACGTATATCTAGAATATATAATAATAATACTACTTTTAATAATATTACTATTATTATTATTATTATCGGACGAAATAAGGACGCGACACGAACTATTTCACACACTCTGAGATACGCGCGCGCGCGCGTTAACACAACTACGACGGTCGGCAGGCACTCGGAGACTGAATGCGCTGCGGGCGGAACGAGGACTGGTTGCCGTTTGGTGTACACCGCCGCCGCCGCCGCCGCCGCCGCCGTACTCCTTCCAGCCGCACAGAATATTATATTATTATGCTTTCCGTTCGCTTTTGCTGCTGCCGCCGCCAGGGTCGTCTTGTTTTTTTTCCCAGTCCGTCGCCGCCGCGCGTACGTGCGTCGTTTTCTATACGTATACACACGCACAGTGTGTCTGTCCGTCCGTCCGTCCGTCTATTCACCCGGTACACTTTTAACACCTACTTAACATAGGGCGTCCCCCCCCCCTCCCGCCCGGGGTCGGATCTCGGACAGTCGTCGTTCCGGCCGCCGCCGCCGCCGCCGGTCGCGTTGTTATAAAATATTGTATAAAATATCCAAAAAAAAAAATAATAATAATCGTCGCACATTCGTCGGTTACGATTTAATAACAACATTGTTTCGTCTTCCGTGATGTGCGGTGGCAAACTATTATACACTTAAATATACTTATAATAATTATATCGAGTCGGAAAAACTACGTATATTAATAATAATCATGTGCTCATGGACCCGCCGCGTGTGAATTCGGTGGTCATATTATTATTATGATATCATGCTATACCCACCTATATTGTGACGGCTATATTATTATTATTGATTTTTCTATATTTATACCATCATGCATAATTGATCTCATTTACATCCACGTTTTGGGTTCTATGTTTAGCATAAGCTTTGAACAACCTGTATCTCTCCGTTGTGTCCTGCCGTTAGTACATAATACGGCTGTTACGACTGATATTTTTAAAACGGTTGTGTTCAAAGTAACCAGAACACTGTGTGGCCACTGTATAAACAATTATAAAAATTTGAGTATTTAATATAATATGTATATTGTGATTGATACTATGACATTACCGATCATTCTTTTGTAACTGTACATACCAATATGGAACTACAGTTGATTGTGTTGCATTAAAATACGTTTAGAAACCGGGAATTTAGAACCCTCGCAGAGTGAGGTTTCCTAAATCGTTATTCAATTTATATTAATATATTATATTATACAAACAATCCAAATGAAATGATTTCAATTTTTCTCCAATTTGAGTCGAATTAATCGAATTTCTGTTAAACGTCGGAATTCGTGAAACTGACTGCCGTCTTTGGAACGATTAATACACAGTTTTTATATTATAACATTTACCTCCCTCCCCAAAAAAAAATTCTTTAAAATAATTGCATATCGCACGGACCGTATCGCGACAAATCTCCGTAGTCAGCCTACGGATTGAGAGAAACGTTTTTTAATTCACCTCTAGCAACCACCACCGACTTCGACTGGCGACTTGTGCGTGCGTGCATGGTGTGCTCGAGTACAGAGTTTTTTCTCGCTTTTTTCCGTCTTCTTTTCGCTACACTGTCAACGACGGCGCGTAATGAACATGACGAGTAGTCGAACACGTTATATTGACGAGACACACTTTGAATTATTATCGAACCAACTATTATAAACGACTTCACAATAATAATAATATAACAACTCGGTTATTTCTTTCCGCGTACACGCCGTGGTAGTATCATAATATGCTGTTTACAATCATGTCGGCGGATGACTTCGATTTTTAATTCTGTTTCGGTTTTCTATTTTACGAGTCTCTCGCATATACGTACATCGTACCTATGTAATACGGGCGACGCGAAGCTGTGCTTCATAAAAATAATGTATACCTACATATTGTTATAAAGGTTCGGCTTGGCGTATAACGCGCAGCGTGTGTTAAAATCGATTAAAATTTAAAATACTATATATTATTCTTATGGTATGAGTATATCTCATTATTATAATAATGTTATTATTATGCTATTTTGTCGAGTGTGTTACAGAATGGAATATTTTCGTTAAGAGAAATTATATGGTGTTTGGAAAAACGATGAGAATAATGAGTTGTGTGCATGTGTATGTACAAAAACTAATTTTGTTCTCGTAATTCAAGCGACGGCACACTTCAGCAGTGGTTGTCCGAGCGTTTTAAATAATAATAAATAATAACTTCATTGTACCTAAAATTTTATATTTATATAATATAGGTATGGTACTTTTGCAGGTACTTTGCACGTCATAATATGTTTATTGGAGCGCTTCGCTCGTGTCTATAACGTCGTCGTGTGACTTGCGATTTTAAAACATTTTGCAGAGTAAAATAACATACGGTCCCTTGAGGTTCTGTACCGACCCTATATATGTACATACTGGATCACCGCGAGCTCCGTCCCCCCGAATTTGGTTTCGCATGCCTCGTACATTAATATATTTCCCTATTTATGCGAACGTGATATGTGTATGTAATAATAATAATATATGGGTACGATATATATTGTTACAACAACGGTGCGCGCAGTATCCATTTCACCTGTCGATCCGCGAGTTTTCTCGAAAATATTTACTCTCCGTCTCGCGTCCCGAGTGGCCTCCCCGCAGCCCTGACCAATGTCCTTTTATCTAATTTGACGTCTATATATTATCATTACTTTTGTGATGCGTTGCAGCCAGACCGTTGCAGCACACACGACTCAAAAAGGAGCCGGCCCGTTTCCACCGGGAGATCGAATTATGTATGTTCGTTTGGCATTTAGTTGTCGGGAGGGTTCGTGTACATTATACATATTATAACTACTTGTATAGCTATATACATGCGCGCCCAACAATGGGACAGGCGGTATTCATTATTCCTAACTACCCGCCGCCGCCGCTTATATTATACTACATATAGGTAGGGCTCAGTTTTTTTTCCTGGTTCTTTTCTTCTTCCTCGACCCGTGCTAAAACGCACCCCAACCACCTGAATACACCAGGTGAAGACGACTATGACTATGACGACGACGACGACTACGAGTATAGTATAATTTATACACTGTTAAAAAATGCATTTTTAATACCAAACCGCTCGTTGATTTATAACTAATCGTGAGAGACCGCTCCGAAGTGTTCATCATATCGCATTAGACACGAAATTAGTGTGGTATTTTTTTACGGTCCATAAGTCACTTTTTAAATCGGACGAATGTAAAAAATAATAAGCAAATGCCTGCAATGTATTCATTCGCGATTATTTCCTTTCCAATACACTCGCGGAAGGCCGAACGAATTTCTATTTGGGGTTCGACAAAAATTATGAGTTCCGAGATGCGAGCACACACGCACGCACGTGCAAAGGGGTCGATAGAATTCAGCTGTTATCATTAGTTAAAAAAATAATTCGAGACGGTAAAAAAACTAAAACACTGTTCGTTCGACTGTGCCGCAGTATATAGTGTATATTATACGCAGTGACAGCGTTCGGTGACGATTGACATATTTTGTGAGTGCATACGTACGGACGAAAATAAACTCATTAAATACCAGTATACCACTATAGGAAAACACCATTAAGCACCGAGAATTTTTTTTAGTAAAAAAAAACAAAGACTAATGATAATATTTCTAATCTATAGATTCGTTGGTTTTTAGAAAGAAAACTGGTCTGCTGGCGGGTACCTATGCATAATATACTAATATTATCCGTATGTGTATGCTCGCAAAGGATGAAGACTCTTGGTGCGATTTTCTCGTGCCTACCCATTTATATATAAATACAATATTATAATAGGCACTGGCCCGGAGACAAGCGTGTACTCGTAATTAAATAGACGTTATTTTCCTATTTGATCCGTTTTGATCATATTAAATATTATAATATACTACATACATGTTGTTATTATATATTATGTACGTATATACCGCGCATAGGCCCGCTTCCTCGGAGGCATCGGGACGTCGTTGAACGACAGCGATCTGATAACGATATTATAATGTTTGGTTGTCATTAAACCCACACGTGGGTTACTGTAATTACAATGCGTATGGGAGGAGTTAACGATGTCGACTACCTTATATAGGTAAAAAGAAAAACAAAAAAAAAAAAAAATAAGAAAATAAACATTGTCGAATACCCAGTACACACACACACACGCACACACACACACACACACTCACACATCATCATAGGTAATAATATATATAACTACGAAATATAAAAAGCAATACCTAACCGATCTGTGAACGTTCCTCCCGCGGCCGCTCGTGTGGTGGGTGAGTGGGGTGGGGTGGGGTGGTAATTAATTGCAGCGAAGAGGATTAGGTATATCGTCTGCATTTAAGCATATATGGGTATGTACCTATATAGTAGTGAGCACTATAATTGCTGCAGTTCAAGACGTCATATATGTTGTATAATTGTATATATACCCATCAAGGGGTTCCGTCTTCGGGGCGGTGTGTCCTGCTTTTGTATGTGATGTGGATATGGTGGTGGGGGGGGGGTCAATTTACTCGATTATCTCGTTAACGTTTTTTTTCGTCTTGCAGTACTCGGCTGTTGTACTTTAGGGAGTGCACCTGTAGCAGTAGGATTCGACAATGCTCTGCACTGAAATTAATTTTAAATATTATAATTGTCATATAATATATGCATCAGACATATTATATGTACCTATCTATGTACAGCACTTAAAACAGTGGTGTATTGTTGTTAAACATTATCAGATTTATATATTAATTAAAATCATTATCATTTATTAAAGTGTAAACAATCTTGCACTTATTTTCATAGCTCAGAGGTTTTTTATCCACGAAATGTGTACACTTGTATTCATTACTGCTGTATATTATTCGATTGTTTAAAGTCTATCATATTGAGTCTTGACGTTTCTTAAATAATTATATCATTCATATATAATTAATATACATAATATTATTACTTATTATACATACTGACGTAAAACTATTTATATATTAGTATGTTTGGCTTTACGTGAGCTTAGATATACCTAATGACTTCGTCGTCCTCTAATAATTATGCTTGCACATCATCGACGATTAGTTTTGTTCCATCAATCGCAACTATTTCTAATATTCTTCTGTTGTAGCGTGCGTGCCTATTATTTACCTTATATCTTATATACCCACCTATTACTATTATTATTATTATTAT